GACCTCTTTGATGTTTGAAATATGCTGACCTAAGCGTCTGGTAACCGATGATAACATTCTTAGAAATTATAATGTCATAACGAAATACGTTGTCATTGTTCTTATAAAATGTAGACGGTAATGTGGGATTATAATATGGCGGTTGGTTTCAAGTTAAGTTTCATTACCCCGTCGCTCATTACGACATGTTGAGGAAATCCCCCTCCCCTGACTTAGGTTAGTTTTCATTGGGTTTCACACATTGTGCGCACCTCACACCCAATTGTCTTAATAGAGTTTGTTACAAATCGTTCAAGGAATAGTCAAGTGTGGTGGCGGCGGTCGCTACTTGACGTACACTATTTCAATGTAATGTATACATTAAATGATAAACGCAGTGAAGACTCGGGGGTGCTGGTAGTGGGGGTGCTACTTTAAATGTAATACCTCTAGTTATAGGTATAAAAAAATTGTCAAATTAAATATAATAAAATAAAATGCGATACACATATTATTATTTTAAAGGCGCAGTAGAAAATAATAATAATAATAGCGATTATACTATTATAACAACCGATACATAGTTAATTCTAAAAATATATTACCAATTATAGTAATTAATAGTAATATACTAATATTAACGAGATGTTTTTCTAAGCATCTGGTGGTAGGCAATGATAAAATACTATGTAAAAAATAAAAATGCAGACGACTATGAACGTTATAATATGGCGGTACCTTTGATGTTGAAAATATGCTTAGCTAAGCGTCTGGTTACCCATTATAAGATTCATACGACATTACTGTGCGGTGACTTCTTTGATATTTGAAATTTGCTGACCTAAGCGTCTGGTAGACGATGATAAAATTCTTAGAATTTATTATGCCAAAACGAGAGAGGTTGTCTTTGTTCTTATAAAATGTAGACGGTAATGTGAGTTATAATATGGCGGTACCTTTGATGTTGGAAATATGTTTATCTAAGCGTCTGGTAGGCAATGATAAAATTCTTAGAAATTATGCCATAACGACAAACATTGTCATTGTTCTCATAAAATGCTGACGTCTATGAGCATTATAATATAGTAGTAATAATAATATAGTTGGATTCATCCCCACACATTATAGGTTCGTTTATGTCAAGATTCATTACCCCTTTCCTGTATAGGAATTGTTGACGGAGTCGTAGCGTTAATATTAAGTAAATATGTTAAAGTGGCAACGGCGGCCACTATTTGACGTACATTATTTCAATGTAATGTGTATGTTTACACGTGGGCTTATCAGTTACCGTTATCAGTTCACATGAGGTTTACCTTACCCTCCAGTAGATGACATCATAGGAGGAGACAACCATTTCCGAATGGCTACCTACCCCACCACTGACATGAAGTTATAATGCGCATGCGCACTTTTAACCGCCATTTTGATTGACATTAACACCCCCACCTAAGTTACCTATTACTCCCACTATCGTTAGACAACGCCTCCCCTTTCCTCATCTATGATAAGACAACGCCTCCCCTTTCCTCATCTATGATAAGACCACGCCTCCCCCTACCCCAACAATGATAAGACCACGCCACCCCTTATCCCAACAAAGATAAGACCACGCCTCCCCTTACCCAAGCAATGATAAGACCACGCCTCCTCTTACCCAATCAATGATAAGAACACGCCCCCCCTTATCCCAACAATGATAAGACCACGCCCACTGTGTGACCTTGACATTACCCCCACCATCGAGAAACCACGGCCTTTGTGTGACACGCCCACCCACCGGGCGGGAGGGTAGGTGAAGGGGTGAGGCGGGGGGGCCTAGAATTCCCAATATTACCCTACTTGTATCGGCAAATTTTAATGTTACCCGGAGTCAAGGCGATTACGACAGTAAATTTTATTACCAGTGCTACTGTTATAGAGGATGAATGGTACAGTCGATTTTTATCGTACCCGCATATGCTACGCGTTGTCGAATACCTTTGTCGGTTTACTAATCGATGTCGACGACGACCTACTGATAGCGGTCCGTTAGTACGTCGTGAATTAGATAATGCGGCACTTATTATCGCCCATTGTTCACAGCGCTATAAATTCAGTAAATTACATTATGAGTTGTCACACAATTTGCCCGTGTCAATAAAACCAGTTGCCCGTCTCCGTCCATTTATCGACAGTCGCGGTCTAATAGGTGTCGGTGGCCGTTTATCTAATGCTAAATTACCCACGATCCAAATGCATCAAGTTTTACTAATCAAGACATCATATCTTTCTAAATTAATTATTCGTCACTGTTATGAAATCAGTGGCCACGGTGGTCCACGCATCGTGATATCGCTAATTTGCAAACAATATTGGATCTTGTCGGTCAATATACTTATTGGATCACTTATCAGTAAATGTATTATGTGTGTCAAGTTGACAGGAGTAAATCCACAGCCTGTGATGGCAGATTTACCCACTTCATAGATTTCTGAGTGTCATGTTTTCTCCCGAGTTGGTGTGGATTTTGCGGGACTTATGATCATGAAGGAACATAGATTAAAAAGGGGGATGGAGTACAATGTATACGTAGCAGTATATTTATTTATTTTAGTATATTTATACGTTATGTTTAGGTATTGCATTATATCCATTAAAAAAAAAGAGGGGAAAATCACGGGGGAGAGAAAATATATATTAATTAGTTAGATTTTTATTATAATAAAGGATGTGATCGGTGGCTTTCTGCACTTGTTTAAAAAAAAAAAAAATGTTTTATCTTAAAATATGGATTTGTTTACATTTTTTTTGGTTTACTTATGTTATTTGTCTAATATGACCAAAGTTTATTGGTGGTTATGTATATTGCCATGTATTTATTTATTTATTTTTTATATTTATACCATTTTCACCGTTTTATACATTTGTGGCGGTCGAATATTCTAGAATGTCCGGCCGCCGCCGCCTCTAGAAGATTCGTCGCTCTACATAAGCGTGTGGCGGTCGAATGTCTAGAGAGTTCCGACGCCGCCTCTAGAAGATTCCTCTGACTATTTAAGGGCAAGATCGTCGCTCCAGTCAGTCAGTCGATCAGTCAATCACTTACGCATTCTGTCTTAGACGCGCTTCGTTTCTCGCTGTTATTTGTTAGTTCGTTGTAATATAGTATAGTTGTTATTAAATCGTAAAAGTGTTTATTACTTCTATATATTACACCTCGCTACATTGGTGACCTCGACGATAACAAGTATGAACGCCGAAGAACTACNGTCGTACCGCATCTCTTGAGTCTGATGACTCGTGGCCAGTGAGCTGGCGTGTTTTTAATTTGTTTCATTGTTTTTTGGTTGGTATTGGCCTGTTTAGGTGACAACCAACACTTTATATTACCAGTTACGTGCTATTACTCGAGTGCTCAACGGAAATAGAGCAGCGGAGGTTGCACATTCCTAACGCAAAAGGAAGAATTACTTTGGGAAGCGTTTTGGCAGTCGATTCAACGTTAATTGCACTATGGATAGCTGATGGCTGGGTGATGTTTCGTTTTGTTTGTTTTTTTTTCTACTATTATTATTCTAATGTTAATATATTGATATATTGAATATTTATTAGTTTATAAATATATATATGTATAATAAAGTTACTGTGTGGAATTGATATTATACGATTGTCATGTAAAACCCCCGATCCGTCATTTATATTAAGATATTAACTTAACGTTAAAAGTATAAAGTAGTGAAATAATTTACTCTGGGAATTGTAAAGTTTCATTTCAATATATTTTTACACTATTGAAACATAAATTATATTTTTTCTGATCTCGAGTTTGAAATTGTTGCTGTTCCGTGATATTGCTTAAAGGGTCAATCATATGAATGTTCTAACAAATTTAGCATTCTGTCCTTTCTCAAAAAAACTCGTGGATAGTTTTTTAGTTCATGAACAAAAATTTTCTTTTTTTAATGATTTGATGTAGGAACTGGATGTAATTCTTTCATGACATTTTTAAGTTGACCAGTATATGAAATTGGATCTACCTTCTTAGAGGAATGTAAGAGTGATACTATAGAAAATTTCTGCGGGTGAAATGCCTAAATCTTTGCTCTAAAATCTAAAAGTATTAAAGATAATAGCTCTACTCATCGTTTTGTTTCATGCGCCCTAATAGCAGTTTTCAATGGCCAACTCATTTGTCGCAGGGTGGTTTGTTGTCGTGAGAATTATTTTTACGCATAATAAGGAAGAAAAAGTGTTAAAAAATATTAAGGACTTGAATTGCCTACTTAGGTCCGTTGTAAAATTAAGAGGAATGCTCCATGACGTGCAATTTAACCGCTATATAGTGTTTGCATTACCGTTTCTGTTTTTATATGGGTCAATGGAAAAGCGTCCGGCCGACCAGAAAAATGATCGACTACCGTTAAACAATTAGTACAACTTTTTGACATCAAAAGTGAACTGACAAGGTCAATATTAATGTGAGAGAACCGCGCGCTAGGTAGCAGAAAAGTACCGTCTGGATTTACTGTGTGTCGCTGTATTTTTGATATCTGGCACGCTATGCAGGTTCTTGTCCATGCTGTACGATCTTTTTTTAATGAAGGCCAGACAAAACGTTGATGTACTAAGTCGACAGTAGCATGAATTCCTGGGTAAGATAAAAATTTTTGAAATTATACAAATTATTGAAAATTTGTTGACGAAAAGTTACTGATAACATGGTTTATAATAACTATAGACCATTATAATAATAATTATTAATAGACGTATCACAATATATTTTTTTAATGGATGTTGACATAGTAATTTTTTTAGTTTTAATCCTGTATTGTTGGATTTCAATAATACAGCTGTTTCACTATCCAAATTTTGCGAAGTAATTTAGTCATTATATAACTGGTGTTAAGAAAAAAAATGTTTTTAAGCGTGATAATGCGTCAGCCACAACATTTTCACTACCTGAAATGTGCTGAATATTAGAAAAAAATTGACTAATAAAATTAGTTGTCTAATTTGTCTTGGTAAACATTTTTCGATTTTTTGTTGAAAAGCGTATATTAGTAGTTTATGATCCGTATATAAAGTAAACTGACTAGCTTCTTACTTAGAAGAGACGGGAATAACGTCTAAATAATAATTACAAAAATCTAAATCACTTAAGATATTATTGATAAACTACTGAAAAGATTGTACAACGTTTCGTAGCCCAAATGGCATGGCTAAAAATTCATATAATTCGAATTGCGTAATTACTGCTGTTTTTCAACATCGGTATCTAAAAACCAGTTTGGATTTATGCCTGGTAAGTCAACAATGGAGCCATTATTTTATGTGAGTCAACTAATAGAAAAGTATAGGGAAAATAAGAAAAAGCTGTGAATGGTATTTATAGATTTGGAGAAACATAAGAGTACCGAGAAAGGTTTTAAAGTGGGCATTAATGAGAAAAGGAGTCCCGAAAAGATACATTAAATTCGTGTTGGTGAAGCGGAGAGAAGCGTCTGGTGTGTTATGCGATAAAAAAATTCTAATGATGCTGAAGAGTAAACTCTATAAGATTATAGTGAGACCAACTATAAATGTATGGCTCAGAGTTTTGGGCGATTGTCAAGAAAGTAGAGCAGAGATGACGATGCTAAGATGGATGAGAGGAGTGACTTGAGAAGACAGAATAAGGAACGAACATATAGGAGGGAGTACAGGTATAGCACCTATCGTGGATAAAACGAGCGAAAATAAACTTGGATGGTTAGGTCGTGTTATGAGGAGAGAGGAATTGGAAGCTGTAAGAACGTTTATAGAAATTAATGTTGAAGGAAGAAAAGCCAGAGGAAGACCAAAAAAGGGTTGGAGGGATGTAATTTAATGCTATATGATGTGGGAGATCGTGACAAGTGGAAATTTAGGATAAGGGAGGTCACCCCAAGTATTTGGGATTAAGGCGTAAAAAAAAGAAGAACAAGACTGCTGTTTTTCGAATGTCGTTAGGCTCAACTGGAATATGAAAATAAACGCGTATTAAGTAAATAGCGGAGAAAGTTATTTCTCCACAGAGTGTTTGAGTAATATCTTGGACAAATGATAATAACCTGGAGCAGTTACGTTATTTAAACGACGGCAATCACAGCATGGTCTCCAGTTGTCACTAGGGGTAATATTTTTGAATTTTTAATCGCCTATTTCAATATCTTTAAATAATTTTTTTAATCTGACGTTCTCAAAAAACAATCGATTTGATGTATAGATTGTATAAGAAGTATTTTATATATTGATTTTTTAAATGTTAAATCATAAAATAAATAAATGTACATTTATGTATATTAAATACACATTTAGTAATTATATATGTTCTACTGTATATAGTTTTCTGAGATTCGGCCATATTATGTATTACTGTTACGCGATTAATCGAAAAACGATTGGAGTGTATTATGGCTAGAAACCACTGGCTACAAAGTTTTATGAAATGTTGGCTGATATATTAATTGTTGGTGTATCTAAAAATAAAACTGTGTGTACAATTATTTGGCAGTAAATATTTTACAAAAAAAAAAAATAATAAAAAGTGTTGTGACTTTTTTTTTTAATTATTCGGCCGAATTAAAGTTACATGTCATGTTTAGAGCACTTTTGACAAAAACCAAAGCTCTGGGGGTACAATTTCACTATAGAAACCGGTGGTTTAACGTTGCAATTCGAAATATTTCAGCAAGTTATTGTCCCAATGATAGGCCGTGTGAATGCGCGATTGTTGTGCCTTACAATGTCAATCCTTGTGACGGTGAAAAATTATTTTATACTGGTAATGTCAATGATTGTTAACTAATTTTACGTCTGGATATAGCTTGTTATGTCAATATTTTGACGTTTTCAAATTTCTTTGGTTTGTTTTCAGGGAAAGAATTAAACGATGAGTTAAATGGTAAATTAATGGAAACTCTAGAACAACCACCGCCAGATAGAACGGGGGTTTATTTGGTCGATTCACCAGAGAAGGGTACAATTGCACTAAGTCCACTTGAAACGAAAAAGCCCATTATTGATGACGATTTTAAATTGATAAATATGTTTCACAACAAAGAACGAATACGTGAATCTGTAGCGCTGGGTATGAAAAAATTGGCGGAGAGTAATTGTAAAAAAATATTGGTACGTTTGTTTAAAGTTTTCAATAGATTGATTGATTTATTATCATTATTCAATATAAATATTCAAAGTTTTTTTTTTTAAATTTACAAATTGTTGTAGTCATACAACAGTTTAAATGTTAACTTAATACACATAATATTTATAAATTTGTTGTTATTTCAGTAAATTAGTTATAGCTGAAAAAATATCGGGGAAACTGGTTTGAGCTGCAAATTATTAAAATGTATTGACTTCTATAGGTATAAAAGTAATTTTTAGAGCTTTATAAGTTCACAAATCTTAAAACTTTGATAATAATAATAAAAAATTTTTAAATAAATATTGTAGCTACGAAACTGGAAAAAGTTATATAATTATTATATTTAAATGTTCATTTTAATGTCGGTGAAATTCGATATTCAGTTAATTTCTATGTTTTACTGTCGTCTTTACATTAATTTTTATTTATTTTAGATTGGTAATTATGACGATGATAAAACAGCTTCTGAAGCGGCCTATCTGACTGCTTACCAGCCTCCAGACTGTATTAAAACATGTATGACCGGTGTATGTGTTGATAACTATGACAAAAGATGTTGTCAAAAAGAATGGGAAACTGGTATGATCGCAGCAAAAGCGCAGAATCTATCGCGGCATATACAAGACACAAAAATAGAAAATATGAAACCTACCAACTTTGCTGAAACTGCAATTAGAGAATTATGTTGTTGTGATGTTAAGGTTAGTCTTATTTATGTGTAACTGTTATCATAATTATTTTTATCATTATACTTATATTATAAGAATTTAATGTTAGAATTTAATTAATTTGTGTAAGCTATTGTAAGAAAAAATTATTTCCAAGGATAGATTTTAGGATTAATTTTCGAAAGTTGAATGGGAAATTATTTTTTTACTATTAAATGGAGAATGGTCTAAATAAAATTATAAATTTATATATATTTATATAATATTTTTAGATATTAACATTTATAGATATAGAAAAGGTGAGTAGGAGTGAAGTAGTGTTTTACGACGATCTATTTTTATCATAACGTGTACAAATAAGAATTCTATCAGTTGCCCATCCCTCTTATTCACAAAGTGTCATAAAAATCATAAAAATTTGTCATTATTATAACTTTTAAAAATGTTAAAACATTTATTTAAATGTTAAAATTTATATTAAGTATCTACTCTAAAAGGCTCTTTTAACGCTAGCCACTCAATTTTTCTTAAAATAATAAAATGTTTGTGAATTATTTTTTTGGCTTTTTTTAGTTACATAAATGTATTTATTTATCTGTTATATAACAATCTTCATATTCATCCCTTATATCTTATAAGGGTGTCAACTTTTTTATTTTTAATAAAAACAAACATATTAAACTAGATTATAAAATATAAAATGATCTAATTAAGAAAATGTCTGGTCGATAATGACTTTTGGACCAGTTATTAACAATTTAAAATAATGACTTGAAGTGAGGAGTGGGTGCTGCTATTTTAACACGTCATTCTCTTACTCCCGCCTAGGTATGAAAATGAGAATAACTTCCGAATTGCTAGGTCCAAAAGATGTTATCGACCAGACATCTTAATTAGATAATTTCCTATTTTATAAGATAGTTTAATATGTTTGTTGCCATTTTAAAAAATAGAGTTAACACTCTAATAAGATATATAGAAATATATATTTAACTAAAAAATAATAATGAAAGTAATTTTTAAAAAACTTATTATTTTAAGAGAAGTTGAGTGGCTAGAGTTAAAAGAATCACTTTGTATACCTAAAAATGATATTAACTCAAAAATGAATATTACAAAATGGTTATTGAAGAGTCAGTTTTATCTAGACTATTCTCCGTTTAATTGCAATAAAATAATATAGGATCCAAATTTTCAAAAATTATCCAAAAATCTACACTCAGGAATAATTTATTCTTATATTAAATTTTATATTTCTAATGAGTTATAAAAAAAAATTAAATTTTAATTTATATATTAACCCAACCTTGTATAAAATACAAAATAACAGTAACTGTTACTATTTCTATCAAGTTGTAACGTGACAAAATGTGAATGTTATGATATTGATAGATTACTGTTTTGCTTTGCTAATGGGCGCGCGTACGTTATATCCGGCCGTGTAATCAGAAAACTGTACTGTTGCTGTCAAGGTGAACGCTATACACACAATNAAGTAACAGCTTGTTATTGCTACTTAAGCAGTAACTGTTATAAATCACTGTTACTGTTATTTTTTCCCATCACTAATAATAAATCACACTGTACATATTACTAGTATGATTTAAAAGTATGATAATTACTTTTATCTTCAGTCACCATTAATAATAACAAAATGTGATATTACTTTGTTGTTAATATGTATGAAAATGATTCATCATTTATCATTAAAAAACATATTTTTAACAATTGGTGGCATGTTAATTATGAGTGCCTTCATTCTAACTAAAAATGATCAACGATGAGTTATATTAATTTGTGTTAATTAGGTATTTTAAAAGAAACTACATTATTTCAAACAATTGTTTGAAAGTGGATCATTTAAAATACGGTTTTAAGGCAGATGCAGATCTTGATTTTAAAAAACTTTTTAGTTAGTAAAGCATTGACAGCAAAGTTTTATTATGAAAAAATCCATGGAATTTGTTTATGATAGATATAAAGCACGATATATTTTTTAAGAATAGTTATATTGTTCAGGTCGAGGTTCGGGATGAAAGATGGATGAAGGCAAAAAAAATGACGGGTGTATTAATGGCAGCTCAAACTACTTGCGTGGAACCACTTTTCCTTGAGCTTTCTTATTTTGCTAAGAAAAATGAAAAAGGTAGACCATTGCTTTTTGTTGGTAGAGGAAGTTGCTTGGAGGAATGTTGCGCCCAAGGTGAACCACCAAAAATATTATCAAACGATTATGCCAGTGCAGCAGCTATTGTAGGTGCATTTTACGGTGCCGCCAAGATGCTTCTACCAATGGATATGATGGCCTACATTCCAATATATGGTTATAATCCTATGCGAGCTGGAGCCGGGTCTGTAGTAAATAACTTTAATGGTATAAAAACTAAGCTGGCTTCAATTTGCAACGAGGGATGCATTGTTATGTCCGATGCTCTTAGTTATTCTAAGGTAAACTCAATATTCGGAGAATTAATTTATAATTATTGTTCTAAATTATGTGGTATAAATTGTTTAGTACATAATTTTATTTATTGAAAACTTAAGTATTAGTTTAAATAGAAAAATAAAAATTTTTAATTAAAATTATTTAAGAAATATTTCTGTAAAAAAATTTTCTTATAAATTATGTATATTGAAGTTCAAAAGTGGATGAGGATTTGACCCAATAAAAAATTTTCGGATCTTTATAATTTAAGGAATACTTTAATTCTTTATATACTAATCACGACTGTATTTAAAACAAGCACACCATTTTTATTATTTATTTTATGATAAGCATTATGAGGTTTTATTATTTATAGTGCTCAACGCCTAGCCTAATAATGACTATCGACTCACAACCTCACGATGCTCGAGTTGATTTTAAAAGTCTTTTCAACGTGTGTTTGACAAATTGTGATGTTCTTTGGCAAGCAATTAGAGTATCAGGTATCCTATCTGGCGATCGTTTTTGGAGAATAATTGCTTACGATAACTTCCTCGAAGAGATTAATATGCTTAACGATGTAGATTTATCCAATAGAGGCGAACTCGAAGAATTCCAAGGAGTTGGACATGCGCATGCATTTCTAAGCAAATTTATACCTTGTTGCGATGCTCAGTATGGTCATATACAAATAGCTCGTACGTGTAGTGGTGTGTCAGACGGACGAATTGCTCCATATTTGCTGGAAGGTTTGAAACTTGGTCGGCCAACACGAAGTTTAATTGAATTATTATATTACATGGCATGTCCTCACCAACAAGTTCCCCCCAATGAATGTTGTGATAGCAAATAAACAGTACAACATTTAATAGTTATGAACAGCTCGAATTAGTTCAAATGTGACATTAATTTGGCCTCGAAAAATATTGAATTTTAACCAAAAAAATGATATTAAACAATAAAATTAATTTTTGACTAGTTTTTGGTAAATTAATGAGTAGTAATGTGCCCAAGTAAAGTATTGTTTTTTAAACAATCAAGGTTTGTATAATAATAACTTATGAAATTATTTTCACGAAGTGAATTTTATAAATACAGAATTATCAAGTAAAAGTTGAATGCTATAGTTTCTATTCTATTTTAAAAGTTTTACGTATTCTTATAACTACTAAATTTTTGAGGAAATTTTAAAGAGGACGCTTATTGTATGCTGTGAGATGTAGAAGGCCAAGTTTCTTTTTGTTTTCTTCGCATGATATCACGGTAGGTACTTCCAAACACGAAGAAACCAAATATTCTTATAAGATTTACTAATCAAATAATTCAAATAAACGTGGTAATTAACTACAGAGGAATAAAATGTATTTTAATATTAGTTAAGGAAAAATATAAAAGATGTTTCGCGTAGTAAATGTATGTACAAACCGAGTATCTAGTAAAAGCCGGTTAAAAAAAATTCTTAACTGAATACCGAGTTAACCGAGTCCTAAAGAGGAGTTTGGGTACCAGAATCATTTCTAATAAATATTACTTATAATTTTCATTACTCTCAATGATATGAGTTAATTTATTTAAATAATAAAGGGTTTATTCTTCGATTATAACTATAAGCAATAAAATGTGACATTACTTTGGCCAGTGTTATGCATGAAAATGGTTCACTATTTACCATTTATAGAAAGAGAAATTTTTGGCTATACTTGGAAGCCATAGAGGATGCCTTCACTCTACTTTTCTGTAAAAATTATTTGTGATAATATTTTAATATTTTTAGTAATTTGTTTCAAAAAACATTTTTATTAACATCTGTTTAATATAAATAGAAACCAAATTAATCAATGTTTGTTGATTTTTGTTAGTTTAATAAATTAGTTTAAGTTTTTAGCTTAATGTTCTACTGTATTTTTAACAAAAACAAAAAGTTTACCCGTAAATATGTCCACTAGCACTACTATTGAAATTAGTGAGCGTCATTTGAATACTGTGTACCTGAATGGATTAGATTTTTTACAGGTTAATATGAATATTTATAAAATATAATACATTATATTTAAAACATAATATAGATTTGTTTCATTAATTTAGGTTCAGAACACTACAACAGATTCTGAATTTCAAGATGACAAGATGGAACTGGTACCACTTACTCCACAATACTCTGAGACTTCATTATACAGTTTTAACGATGACATCTTAGAATCATCATTACCACACTTAAATCCAACAAAAATTCGATATGCTGTTATAATCATTAGTTCTATTGTATTTTTTTTTCAAGTAATACTTTAAGTAATTTCAATTTTAAAGGATTATTAAATAAATTAAAGAAATCATGCTGCATTATGCAATATTATTATTGCATTAAATCTCTATACATTTCACCTTTTTTATATTCAGATTAAATTAATAGTCTCTCAAATTAATCTTGAGTTAAATTTTGATCTTATACATATTGAAATATAAAAAAACTGACCAATTACAAAGTGAACATTTTACCCGAAACTCCAAAAAAATTTTTTTTGTAGACATTTTCTCAGTCAGTTTGGAATCCTATATTTGAACAAACTTTAGAAGCTTTCCCTTATTGGACTTCGAAATCTCTGGCTTTATTACCAATATGGGGTAGCGTTATGAGTGTAATTTTGGTGTTTCCAGCTTGTATGGTAATCAACAAATATGGTAATTAGTATAGTTTTTACATTTTGTACTATATTTTAATGTTTATGAATTTATTTGAATGACGTAGGACTTAAAAATAGTTTGCTATGGTCTTGTTCTATTTTTACAATAGGTACATTGGTGCGGTGTTTACCAATCATGTATTACTCACCAGCGTAAGTATAAATTTTTTTTACATCTTATTGATTTTTAATAATTAGAAAAATATTGAATTAAAAGCATTTAACGATCGAAAAGTGATGTAATAATAAGTTTATGTTTTTGTGAATGCTCTTAAACAATAGTGGTTTATTAATGTTTATTATCAATGTTTTATAAGGAAAGAATTATTATTTTTTGAAAATATTAAATTTAAAATTTATTACATGATACTTATGTACAATTTTTTTTCAATACTATAGGTATTTACATTTGTCTGCAGCTTTTTTATCCGCCGGAAGCGTTTTTATGAGTCCTTTAATGATTACTATTTCTACTCAATGGTTTCCTAAGAATGAAAGAAATATGGCCATTGGTTAGTAATACATATAATTAAAATATAGTAGGTATGAAAATGAAGATTAAAAAACGTACTCAAAGTATAGCTGTTGGTTCGGCTGGTGGAATGCTTGGATCAGCGGCCACTTATATTATTGGACCAACTTTTGTACTTACAGACGGACCACCTAACCCAGAATTAATTAGAAATAAAATTATGATGATGTTATATGCATGTATGGTAACTTTTAATTATAAATTAAACACTTGGTTTATTAAAGATTGTCTAGAAAAATTGAATTTAGGTAGTGCTACGTGTATAAGTTCCACGACAATGGTTTTTCTTTTCTTCCCCAAACATGTTCAACCAGTGAGTTATACCTCAAAAATCTCGATGCTATCACATAGGTCTGGTGATCTGATAAATTCATTTAAAGAACTAATAATGTTGAGTATATAAATAAATTTATATTCTAAAATTTTATTGCATGTAAATATTAGATCTGTAAAATACTTTTACAGTAAACTTATGATTAGATAAATTAGGATTGATTAAACATTTTTTTTGTCTTTGAATTATTAATTATTTGAAGACTAATATTCATTGTAAGAGCACGAAAAAACTTATTTTTACAAATTTGTTGAGTTTAATTATAATTCGATTATCATTTACTGTGGTGGAGTTTAAATAGATATTTATTTTTTAATAATCTTTTATTATTGATTCAATCATAACTATTATACTTCCTGTATTATTATTTTATTAATGATTGTGAGAAGTATTTAATATTAATTTTACAAAAATATTTAATTCATGAATCGTAAATTTAAAAATATTGCTGTGATGTTTTCTCTGTTTGTATATGCTACAAAAGTTTTTTAGTTTTATATAATGAATGTTGTGAAAGTTTTTTATATTATAAATAAAATTAAAATAGGTCTACTTGAATCATTTAGTTTAAAACTTAAGTATCATTTTAATTTGTTTTTATGGTATGCATAATAATGTAGGGGTCATTAAGTAGGGTAGGACGGGATGAGGTTTCTTTTTATATTTTTGGATACTTAGAGATTGAGGTCAGATAGATTGTATCCTAGAAACTAAATTGATAATAAAGAACTTTAAGAACACAAATGTACACTCAGGGTCCCGTAAATGATGCCCCTGGTTGAAAAACAATTTAAGTTTATGAATATAATTTTGTAAAACAGTAAAATGTAGTTTTAAATTATCATTTCGGTATCACTTGATGTAAGAAACGATTTTTTTTTTAAATGTAAAAAAACAAGTATTTTTAATTTCTAATTATTTGTACAAATGCGTAATATTAAAAAGAATTTTTTTTTGTGCATTTTTCAAAACATTTCAAATGATTCATTTACATCGTTTTTCAAATAAGTAATTAATTTTCTACATCTAGATTTACTATCTATAAACTATATAGAGGAATGTTTTTTACTTTTCTCAGTTTGCTCTAAACATTTGTAAACGAAACTAAAAAGGATAACTAGACAGAGAATTTAAGCCAAAGAAGATTAATAATGAATTTAAAAAAAAATAATAATTTTTTTTAGACATCGTCAAATGTGGTACGTTTTGATGGCTTTTGCTCTTTCTTATTCTATTTCATCACCTTGGTCAGCCATAATACCAGCTACATTTTCCAAATTGCATGTTCCTCGAGTATGATTAATTTGTATAAATTTAACATAATATTGATATTGCATTAAACATTTTTAGGAATTAAGTGTGCAATGTGGTTTATATTTAATTCTTCATAATTTTTTGCTGAGTTTGTCCATGAGTGCATTTGCTGACAAATTTCCGGGGTATAGCAAAGAAATTGTCTTGTGTAGTCGTTTGGTATCATTAGCGTCACTTTTTTGGCTTATGGTCATGATGAATTTTCGTGATCATGGGAAATTATCATCAAGTGAGTCTTAAATGTTCTGGACATTAAAAATCATTTTTTTTTATAAAATACTAGTACTAATACTAATAATTTTATTTTATCTAGCAATATTGGTTTGTGTTATTTTAGTTGCATTTCCATACTCATGGTGTAACTCTAGCCTTTTATATGAAATGGGTACTAATTTGATGTTTCCCATGGCAGAAAGTTATGTTGGCGGTTACATGACATTGATGAATAATTTTTTTGTTGATTGTGTTTATTTATTACTCTATGCTTTTCCTAAATTCGGTAAGTTTAAAACTTCACTGTATCATAATCTCATAAATTATATCTATTCAACTAAAATTTTAGTAGATGTACTTAACTCATTCATTTTTTAGTTATATTTCAATTAGAATTTTTGTTAAATTTATTAAAATACAAAATTTAAAATTTTTATTTACAGATGAATATTGGATACATTTTGGAGTTTTTTTTTGTTCATTATTAAGCATAATATTTTTACTACTGACACCTAATATAACAAAAGAAACTTATTTGTGTACGTAATATGACAAATATATTAATATATTATTTGAATGATTATTGTTAAGACTTTTAGTGTTACAAATCTAAAAAATAATTTTACCTATAAATTTTTAATTTATTTATCAATACGCAGTGTTTTTGTTGTATATCATACGAATAAATAAATGAATTTTTGCCCAAAAAATTTATCTATTCAAAAACAAATTTATACTTATTCCGTTAATACACAGTGAGTAATTTTTTGATAAACAAAGGTGCGCCTAATTTTCATTGGTTAAACGAATACAATTATCTTAGTGATAGGATTAACTTGTTTAGATTTAGTATCTATGAAAGAAACTATCAAACGAAGTACAAATATAATTTAATTAATGTTTTTTTTTCATTGAATTTAAAGTTCATTTTTACTTCAAAAAACATTGACCTTAATTTTAGAAAAAATCTACTCAAAACGTGCATGTGGAGCACCATGTTAAACGGATGCGAAACATTGACTATTGCAAGAAAAGATATGAGAAGAATAGAGGCATTCGAAATGTGGTGCTACAGGAGGATGGAATATATAAGTTGGATTGATAGAATTACTAAGGAAGAAGTTTTAGAAAGAGTATCTGAGAGGAAATGGAAAATGGAAGAGTATACAGGATGATTTTTTTATCATAACCCACTCAATTACTTACAGAATAATAATAATTTAAACAATTTTTTTTATTATTATCTTTAGTTACACATTATTCTTGAATTATTAACTATGTATTACTTTTTTAGTTCATCCCTTATGCCTGGTAAGGGTGTCAACTTTGTTTTTTTAAATGGTAACACATATTTTGAATTTAATAAAATGTTTGAGTTTTTAATTCAATAGTAAATGGCATTTGAATTTTTAATAAAACTTAATTTGTTTATTAGATATAAACATTTAAAGTTTCAAATTTTTGAGTTAATATACATGTATAATACACTAGGGACTACAAATACAGGTAGTTAATTGATTTTATATGACATCAATATTAGCAGGTGCACAGCATTGTTATTATCAATGATAGTAAGGTACATAGTTGTGAGTTTATAAATACACTAATTGACAATACAAAAAGTATATCTATTGATAGTCATAATTGATAATATACAATCCGTGACTGTGATAGCAATATCATAAAAAACCAATTAGCTACCTGTATATGTTATCCCTTGTGTATTATACCTATATATTAACTCAAAAATTTGAAACTTTAAATGTTTATATCTAATAAACAAATTAAGTTTTATTAAAAATTCAAATGCCATTTACTATTGAATTAAAAACTCAAACATTTTATTAAATTAAAAATATGTGTTACCATTTAAAAAAACAAAGTTGACACCCTTACCAGGGATAAGGGATGAACTTAAAAAGTATTACATAGTTAATAATTCAAGAATAATGTGTAACTAAAGATAGTAATAAAAAAAANAATGTGTAACTAAAGATAATAATAAAAAAAATTGTTTAAATTATTATTATTCTGTAAGTAATTGAGTGGGTTATGATAAAAAAATCACTCTGTATAAAAAAGGCGAAATGAATTAATAGGTCATACTTTAAGACACGATGGGTTGCCATTATTAATCGTAGAAAGAATAATCGATGAAAAACATCATAGAGGAAGGCCAAAATTGCAATATATAAGTCAAATAATAAAAGATGAAGATATAATTCATATCAGGATTTGAAGAGGAAGGCTAGTGATAGAGAAACATGAAAGTTATTGCAAACCAATCATTAGATTGAATACTGCAAAAGAAGAAAATTATAGAAATTAATATATAGAAATTTAATCATTGTTGGCGCTGCGAACGTGACCTGCCCAAATAGGTTTCACCTAATGAGTAGTGCACAGTTGCTTAGAAAATTATATGTATTATTCATTTATGGAAGTGTCTTCTTCCGTAATGGCATATGAGTCATGGTTATTTGTTCAAAAATTTTTCGATATTCTTTTGGTTATAATTATTTGTGCACTAATATAATTCGAAGGAAAATTTGTATACAGACGATAGTGTCGCCTAAGCCACGTGTATATGTTTTATATTATGAAGACCTATAACTTATTTTTGAATGTTTGGTTACATTTAATAACGAATTACAGATCAAATCATAATTAATCTACTGGGTAGAACTAGATCAGATGAAATTATTTAATGAATCTATAATTTTAATGAATAATGATAAAATTTGTTGTAATTTTTATTTATATTTTGGATATAGATTTTTTTAATCAATTAAATTCCTAACATTAAAGAGAGGAATTAATTGTTTTCTTTTAAATTAAGTTTTGAAATATGAAACCCCAAATACGACATACAGTTCATAAATTTTATTTGGATTTCATATATTTTAGCTTTAACTTTACTTATTTTAATTTTAACTTTTTGAAGAACCATTAAAGTTGAAACCTAACTTTTTATGTTATCTATCCTTGGCCACAGCGGTGAAAAGTTAAAAGTGAAATATTTTACTAATCAGACAATATAAATAAAATATCAATCGTTTATTAATAATTATAATAACATAATTGTGTAATATTAAAAAATATTAAAATTTAAACTACTTTAATATTGATTTATTATTAGTAATAATTTATTTTTAATAGTTTTTAAAATAATAAATATACTATAAATACAGATTTAGCTTCACTTGAACAAATGTTGAAATATTGGTAAATAACAGTTATAATAATATAATTAAGCACCTAATGTTAAAGAATATTTAAAATAAAATTATTTTTAAATTGATTTATTGTTATTAGAAATGTATTCCTAATAATTTTTAAAGTACAGATATAGAACCTCATTCGTACAAATATTATTTATATTCGTTCATGGTATTATTTATTATAATTTTTAAAGGATAAAATAGTAATTGACAGAATATTACGTTAAATATAATTTTCTAATATTATTTTATAAATTCAGATTGACAAAAAAAAATATGTTAATGAAAACTTCTTTTTTCTTTTTCTTTTTAATTCTTGTGAGTAAAACTAAAACACGATAAATTAAATTAAAATTATATTAAAAATACTATTTTTTGAATAAATGTCATTTTATTTTACGAATTTTGTATGAAAAGTTTCTAATTTTATACATTAAACATTCATTTATAACCAAAATGTCATTAGTCAGTTAGAGTATAATACCATTTAAACATTATAATTTTAATTAGACATCTAGAATAATATTTTGGCATAAAGGCATTCTCATACATTTTCGGTTTTCTTACTTGATGTAACATATATTTAATAACAAAAATATAGTTCTGAATATTCCATTGACTAATAATAGTTTTACAGGTAAAAGCACATGACGATTTAAAGAAGATTACACGTAAATTATACAATTGTTTCGATAACTATAAATTGTTAAATAATCAAATCGAAGATATGGGTAAGTAAATTTATCTACATAGATAATAATTGAACAATATTTTTATCGTTTATTAAAATAGTGTGCCATTTTCTTATATAAAACTCAAGTGAATAAATCTCTAAAGATTAATTTTAATCGAGTAAAAAATTTTTATATTTGCGTTTAATCTGAATTTATCCATTTATTAAGATTTTTAGCATTGATCATAACTAAGAAGGTATTAATTTTATTCTTTCAAGATTTTTTTCTTTGAAAATTGAATTATTATAAAAATGTTAAAAGAAAAGCTAAGTCAATTTTTTTAATAAACTATTTCTCGTAATATTTCAAAATGTTATGGGATAATACTAATCTTTTCATATTATTTAAAACTATAAAATATAGTTAAATTATGGGACCAAGAATTGATTAATGCATATTTTTGTTTGTTTTTAACTAATTACTATATTAAAATTTTTATTTTTTTAATCATTTTTGCTTACAGATTTTCACAAGAAATTTACTCCCAATTTTGAAAATTTATTATTAGACTGGAACACGTTGATTCAAAAGAGTGATCAAAACGATCTATTAACCATTGTATTTAATATAGCTGATCATGTTTGTTTTACATTAGTAGGCGATGATATTGCAAATAAGACACATTTTGAAAGATGTATGGAATCAGCGAAGATGTGTTGTAATATATATGCTAAAAATGTTTATGCTTTGGGAATAATTGATGAATCGAGAGAAGTGATTATAATACAACAAAATCCTTATGAACACTTAGTTGAAGCAAGGAGTGAAAAAAAAAAAGTTTTACCAACGTTACTTCAAGATGATGGCATGATTATTGAAACCGATTGCCAACCGACAGAAGGTGCTCAAATAGTTGTATTGTCCAAAGATACCGAAGATGTAGATTTCATTAAGATGAATGTTTATTTTTAAGTTGTGAAATTCATAATGGAGGACTGATTTGTTTTTATTGTAATTTAACTAATTAAAAATATTTAATTTGTAAAAATTATATAAGGCATTGAATAATAATAAAAATTTCTGTTGTTTACAATATTTTGGTAAATTCTTTATGGAATTTTGACAAAGATTCCAAATCTGTCTTTAATTTCTGTAATGAATACCTCAGAAGTTATTGAATAACTTCGATATTAGTATTTAACATAGATATATACGTTTTTAACATAGTAGTAAGCAATTTTTAAATTCTTAAGTAATATAATAATACCATATAAAGAGAATGTTCAGGATTAGCAAATTAACAATGGCGGGAAAAAGAATAAATAAAGGGAAACAAGAAAAGTAATGGAGAATTGACGTTTTGTCTAAGAAATGTCTAGTTACGGTTCAGGACGTTTGGTGTGTGAAACTTTGTATTTTGAACAGCTTAATTTATATTGTGTTACATTGTTATATTGTATTTTGATTTTGTGTTTATAAGTTTCGTAAATAAAAAATAACTATTCGAAAACCGGCACTTAGTGTAAATACTTTATATCCACAGTGTTATTAATATTGTGTATATGTGTGCGGCAATAGTCAAGGTTGGACTGCTGGTCCTTTAGTCGATCTTAACAATTAGTGTGCGTGCTGGCTAGTTTTTGGGCTTAACCGTCTTTTAGTGGGTATAGTGAAAAGGTAGTTATGCTGGTGACTGGCGAGGAGCTATCCTTCAGTCTGCTATTTTTGAGCTAGACCGTGCTGACGGGTCTACCCATTTAGTGGTTCACTAATTGAAGGAATTGGGGCTGACCGTGTATCCAACGGGAGGACTCGAGAAGAGCCAAACACGACGGACTTGACGTTAAACGTATTGATTAATTTGTGTACAAAGTTTGTGTCTACGTCGCGGTACTACCGACGTACGACATTTCTTCCCGTCGTGTCTGTTTATTGAAATATTTACTATTTATTAATTATATTATTATAAAAACTGAAAAATAATTTTTTGTTTTGTAATTTTTTTTTTTATGTATACTTGATGATTTTGAAAACGAGTTGTGCGAAATTCGGTGCTTGTCCGTCAAGTATAACCATATTTATAGATGTTTCAATTCGAGTTTGATGTTCATTTGCCCATAAAATGTGATCATGTAACAATGCTGAATTTTCTAATGTAATCATTTTAGGGTCAATATCATAATTATTATATTGCTACTAATAGTTGGATAGTATAAATTGATCACTTATGGCTAATATTATTTAAAATTAAAACTAAATATTATTATAAATATTTAACTCAAATAATTACAAAGAACTTAACTTAAGAGAGGCAGTAGAAATGTTTAAAAATTAGAATAATTTAATTAATTGGGATCTTGGACCATTGAAAAATTCATTATTAAACTTGTGTAAGCTAGGTGATAAAATTACTAGGGGTATATAAGGGGGATTTTACCGGTCGGGGTGTCAGTATGTATTAAGCGTTGATAATGGTAACATTGTTTCCAAAATACGTATCCGCAATTTTTTTTTGGTAATTTTATTGATGCTTTTTAAGTTAAATTTTTTAATACTTTAGCTTCGGCGCGAACCTGAGAAGGTATAAATTTTACTATGATTTTTTTTTTACCGATTTCTTTCAACCGTACGTCAAAATATCATAAATCGTATCTAGTTGAAGACATTGTCCTTAAAAATTGAAAAAATTTCTCTTGTTCCCTGAAATGGAGAAAATCCCACCAAAAAATTATAATATTTAAAATCGGTCAAATTTGACACTTTTTTTTCTTAAAACTGTCAAACTTTTTCAAAAATGAACAAACAAAAATAATTTTTAATAATAATTTAATATTAAAATCTTAGGTATTTCCCTTTTTTGATATAATTGTTGAAAATATTTTGGAAATACTACGTCCATTAAACATATGTTAAATTAAAGTTTATGTTACGTACTACAAATTAAAAAAAAAATTTTGTCATTAATAAATTTAAATTTATTAAATGTTTATTCATATTTTACACTAATATATCATAAAACTTATAATCAGGATATAAATAAGGAAATAAGAGATCATTTTGCTTTCGGTATAATCCAAAAATTAAACACTATTTACAGATTTACATCGAAGCGTTTCTTATGATGGTGATTTTAATGACTGTCAGATATCATTTATACTTGTCTCAACTATGCCTCGTCCACACTGTGCCTCGACCCCACTGTGCTACCGTTTTCTTAGTTTTTAATTAATGTTTTTAACATTATTTATTGTTTTTAGCTGGATGGATAATTTTGTAGGATGTTCAAAAATCTTTTTGAACACTCCACAATGACAAAAAAACGGGAATAGCACAATTATGGATAAAAATGTATATACCATGTAATATATTACAGATTTTTTTTGCAAGTCTCTTTTTATTAGAGTTTTTTATGATTTTGAAAAACAAATTATTCTGATTTAATTTATGTAAGTTATTACCCAAGTAGCATTATTTTGGTTCACGGTCGGTTCAAGCGACCCACAAGTGCTGGGAAAGTTCAGCGTTCAATAAGTAACCCAGTATTTTTTCATAAGTACTAGAACAGTTCAAAGTTCAAAATAGAACTTAAAATACTACTTGATTTTATTTTAAGTACAATAGAATCATTATAATGGTTATAGCAGTTTTAATATACAGTTATAATTTTATATAATTATTTAACTTTTAATTAATAAAATAATAACATTTTAAATATAACAATGGTCTATGATGACTTTATTGAGACTAGCGCGAATTCGTTTGGTGAGCTAATAGCGCAATAACTAGACGTGTCGTTAACCATTGACCAAAAATTCTAATAATTGTCATTTGTGCCATTCCCGCAAATTATTGACAAATATTACCCTTTTTATAAATGCTCCTTTTGAGAACTGACAAGATTTTTGCCTCTCTTGTCTTTTTCCTGTTAATAATTTATTTCACGGGTAGCTAAAACGTAAGTAATTAAATTATTTTTTAACGTATAGTAGTTTATTGAATTTATAAGTAATCTTAGAATTAGATTACATAAAAATAAAATACATTTTAGTGAAATATGCAGCAATCTATCCTTTTTTATTAGAAAAATAATTTGATATCTTTAATTGTTTTAATTTATTAAGTAGCACAATAATGATCCTAATCCTAAGTTTCTAAAAAAAAGATCTGAATATACAACACGTGTATTATTGATACCTCACTTTGTGTTATATATTTATTTTTAAGACCACTCAATTATTGTTTAATCAAACCTTCAAATACAATAAAGCATTTCTTTATTGTAAATATTGTTCAGTAATATTATTATTTAATGTTATCAAAGTTGTTGCGGCGAGTTATGTGGTTGTGTTCAACTTGCGGCCCGGATGGAACCGGTTGCGTGTATTGGGTGGGGCTGCGATAGTATGTCGGACCAAATCCGCCATATGGTGAGTCGTCGCCTTGTCTATCAGTCTGCCGTTGTAAGGTCCAGTTGATTCCAAACCCAACCCAACCAGTCGCCGCCACGTGTTTTTGTTCCGCGACTTGCGGTAACGTCACGTAAATGTGAATACGGGATTTACCGTACCTATGATCAATATAACTGAGTTTTGTTTCATTCAACCGGTTCAAGTTGTTGAATATAACATTTATAATCCGATCATTGAAGTTCTGTCCAGGTCAGATTATTGAATTCTACAACACTTAAATCTTATATCTGTACTCATTTTATTTCAGTGTACTATTTATTTATTGTTATTAATGTAAGTGGGGACGCCCAACTATAAGGTTTACTACTAATTACACTAATATTGTTATTATAAACAAACTCCCTTTGAGTTTCTTTATTTACTAAGTTCTTGGGGTTTCCTTTTATTCACGTCCTAAGTCGATCAGGCCAACCGATATTTAGGAGCCTGTAGCCGAACAAAAGTAATATATTAAATTAAAGAATGTTGTGTTGGACAATGTCTCTTTAAGGTTCTTTAAATAATTATAATATTTATTATTTATAAAATAAATCCTTGATTTCAATCATTTATCTACGTGACTAGATAATTTGCACAAAAACAACACAGAATAGTTATGAGCCCCATTTAGAATTAAAATTAAATTTTTCTCATTATTACAAGGTTATTTTCAAAAAAATATTTACAATGACCATTATTTATTTTTACTAAGAAGCATACTCACTGGTAGTAGTTCATTCTATGCTGTCATAATGGCGAAAGTTAAAAAAAAATAGCAAATATAGAATACTTTTTTGTCCCTAATTCCAAAATTATTATTATTAATTATACTATATATAATATAACATAAATAAAATTGGAAAAAAAAATTAATTTCATTATAATCTGAAAGTTTTGATATTAGAATTTTTACTTAGTTTATGTTAGATCTAACATAACATTTTTTATAGTACTACATTTCTTTGAAGTTTAATAGTTTAGTTTAATTATATTTTTGAACTTGTTACTTTAAATATTTTCTTTTATAACTTACAGTTTCTATTATTGAAATTATTATTATAATTATTATTGGATTTTGTAAATTTGAAAAATGTTAATTTTTGTAAAAAAGTTGCTATTTTAAATCTCCCCCAATGAGCAGGTTAAGTGTTAGATTTTCAAAAAAAATGATAGCAAATGAAAGGGAAATATCTAAGGTTTTAGTATAAGAAAAAATTATGTTGATTTGTTAATTTTTCAAAAAGTTATGGAACTTTTAAGAAAAAAAAGTGAAATAATTTCGAAAATTAGCGATTTTTAAATTTGTAATTTTTTTGGATATTTCCCCCATTTTCGGGAAACGAGGGAAATTTTTTCAATTTTTAAGGGTAATGTCTCCAACTAGATACGATTTGTGATCTTTTGACGTATTTTTGAAAGAAATCGGTCCAGTGAAAGCTGAGAAAAAGTGGCAACAGACATAAAAAAAAAAAAAAAACACATCATAGTAAAATTAATAAAATCCAGTAGTTCACTATTGTATGTCACACTAGAGTGTAGTAAATTAAGAATTTAAATATTTATTAAAACTTTTAAAGTTTATTATTTAATTATATTCAGAATCAACATCCAAATATATTAAAAATAATTGATCATATTGAAGTGGAGAAAAAACTTCAGAGATGTAATAATGGTTCACTGAAAAACAGTAGTGTTAGTGCTTCAAAACATCTTTAAGAAAAACAGATAAATCAGGCAGTTTTGGAGGATTTTTTTAGAAAAAAAAGTTAACTAACCAAAGTAAGAATATGCATAGTAGTTTTTTATTTTAGTCACATTTATCAAGTGGTGGCATAATCGAAATTACTTGCATAATACATGAGTTTATGTGTTAGTGTACTCACATATCTAATATTTAGGGTCTCTATTTGAAAGAATTCCAAAACTCCAACTTTATAATATATAAAATTAATAATAAGTTATTTGTCAATAATATTAGCTTAAATAAAAAAACTTACATCATACGTTTTTTGTAAAAACTATTATTCTTTGTTATCAATATTATATAATTTTCAGATACTCTAGATCAATTACTGCAAAAATGTATTATAAGTGTTAATTTACCATTTAGAATAATTGAAAATCCCATTCAGATACTCTAGATCAACTACTGCAAAAATGTATTATAAGTGTTAATTTACCATTTAGAATAATTGAAAATCCCATTTTAAAAGAAAATAATTGAACGAGCTTTCCCCAACAGAAAATTTATGCCTCGGCCTCCTTTAATGAAAAGTATTGAGAATGACTTTCACAATTTATCCTTCAAAATAAAATCTGAGATGTTTAAATGTGACTATATTGCTACGACTGCAGTTGGTTGGTCGATTTTTAAAAAGTAAATAATAGATTTATTTTTATTTGTATAGGTACCTAATCAACAGATTTTATAAGTAGTAATATAATATATTTTGTTAGATCGGAATAACTGTCTTTTAAAAACAGTCCAGAATCACTTTGTGGAACAAACAAGGGGATGCTCGACCAAGTCAGCTGATTTAATCAAACAAAATCTGGGCATTTATTTAACAACACCCAATGAGACATTTTGGAACTTATTATAAGATGCAGTGGTGTTGCTTAGTAAATCAATTAAAAATAATGAACTTAAATTTAGAATTATTATGGATAAATTGACTATTATTAGGTTAATAATAAAATTAAATAAATAATTTATTGTGTATATATATATTTTCAGATTTAATAGATGTGACATTGAATTTTTAAGTCAATGTCAAAAAATAATGGTACTAATTTCAATAAGTCTAGATTTATTATAAGATGATACTAACTTATATTCTGGTAATGTCATACCTACTATTGAATAGTTAATTTATAAATATGGATCAATGACACATAATCACACAATTCCTAATTATATGCAAGGTCTGGTATATTAAATGCTTTAGTAAATGGTATGTAATAACAATAACTATAAAGCAATATAATTTCAAGAGAATTTATCTCAAAACAATATTTGTCGTTTATGTGGTGTGTAATAATACATAAATATACTTTATCAGCCAAGTACATTTACTATTTTACACATTTTAGATAATATTTAAATGACGTGTCTGTTAAACATTTTGAATAAATAGTGTTTTTAAAATGCAACCAGCAAATTTTGTTATTAAAAAAAATAACTTCAATTTTCAATCATTATTTTGAAGATTATTTCAAATACATAATTATTAATAGTATTTGGATGGTAATTTAAATACTTTTTTTGGAAATTATATGAGTAAATACTTAAAAACTTTTTAAAAGTATTTTTTACAACACTGCATAACAGGCTAATTTTGAAATATTTAATATTTAAAAATAAAAATAAACCTTCACATACAAAATTTTAATTGAATTTAATTAAACTCTACAAAACAAAATTTTCTGAATATAACACATTATAAACAAGCTCGCTTATGTAAATTTGCACATTATTAGTTTTGAAATAATGCATGTCAAATGATCCTATCCCTATTTTAATATTTTAGATAATATTTGCGATTTTAAATACTTACGTGGTTAATTTTCTATGGATTGAACAGAATGTAATATTGATGTAACTTTATCAAAGATTTGATTAAATATAAGAATAATTAAAAATGTTTAATAAAAGTCATAGGTTGAAAAACCTATTAGCTTAATTTTTTTAGAATTTATAGATAAAAGTGTATTTCTGTGAAAAACATCCAGAGGTCAATTTTTTTTTTTTTATAATAAAGTATATTACATTATTTTTAATTTAAGATATATATAAAAGTGTCAGACTTTTCGGAACATTTTCAAAAGTCATGTTGAAAAAGTTCTACTTTCTATATGAATGTTTATGTTTTGAACCCCCTCTGTATTTAGGGAAATGGTCCAATTAAAAAAAAAAGTATGTCGAATGAAAGAAGTATATAAATATTATTTCTTATAAAAAAATTGTATTGATCCATATATTTTTCAAAAAGTTATAACATATTAAAGTTAAAAATGTAATATATAAAATCGAGAATTTTAACACAAAAATAGCATACGGTAGCCATTTTCACTGTGAAGACAAAATAAAGTCCGAAATTTTTTTTTTTCATAATGAAGTATATTATATTAGCTTTAATTAAAAATATATATAAAAAAGTCAGTATTTCTGGAACACTTTAAAAAGTTAAGTTGAAAAAGTTAATTTTTTGTGAAAAAGTTGTCATTTTGACAACCACTTGTGGGCGGGCAAAGGGTTAAATTTATAAAAAAATATACCAAATGGTAAGTAAAAACATCAAGCATCTATAAAAAAAAAAAATTATATTGATTTGGTCATTTTTAAAAATGTTATGGCAGTTTTAAGTAAAAAAATTGAAAAAATTTCGAAAATTAGCGATTTTTAAATTTGTAATTTTTTTGGAGGTTTACCCCATTTACGGGGAACGAGGGAAATTTTTTCAATTTTTGAGGGTAATGTCTTCGACTAGATACGATTTGTGATCTTTTGACGTATCNTAATGTTTTCGACTAGATACGATTTGTAATTTTTTGACGTATCATTGAAAGAAATCGGTTCGGTGAGAGCTGAGTAAAAGTAGTAACAGACACAAAAAAAAAAAAAAAAACATCATAGTAATATTAATACCTTCTCTGCTTCGCTTCGAAGCTAAAATGAGCTGGTGTTAATGGAGAGGGATCGAAGGGATCAAAGGTTGTGAAAGGGCGGGAGTCCAAACTTACTTCCACTTTTGTTATAATGGTGTGAAGTTCTTCAAATGTAAGATGAGCCTCCCCTAATATTTCGTATAATAGACTCTTCAAGGATTTTATAGCCCCATAACTACCCAAATGTAGTGAACGCGCAGGTATACATTTTTACTCTATTATTTCATTTGTTAAATAGGTTTAAAGAATTTTTCTCGATATTGCTGGAAGAACCATAATCGATAAATTTCCCCTAGCCGACATTGTGCACCGACAAAATTTGTCGCAATATCACTTTACAGTTAGCACTTTTCCCGCGACTATCAAAAAATTTATTAAGCGCACTCAAAAAAGCTTTACCGACCAATCACTAACGGCCTCTATATGTACTGCTTTGATGGCAAAACATGTAAAAATACACACATATCCCTTGTATGATTTAGCCTTGCGTAATTTGCTACTTTTGACAATTATCGGACCTCGATAAAGTCAGGTAATAAGTGTATTAAATAATCAATAAGTAATAACACTGGGTGTTTTTATTCCAAAGAAAAGTAATATTTACAATAATAAGTCAATATTTTAATTTATAATATCTCGACGACAGATTGATGTACATCGATACCATTTGTCCAGGTAAGGTCAACGTGACAGTCGAAGGAAGATTCTTATGATTATGTCCGGCGTTCGAAAGAACCGTTTACACTGTCCGACGGCTACTCCGCACAGTGCGACCTGTCGGACGTGAACAGGAAGCGCCGCAATCGCCATCCAGCGGTAACACCGGAAACAACCTGCAGTATCAACTCCACACTTCAATAATGCTCGACTAGGCTCTATGCTTAGGTAAATTTCCCGTTAAAGGTTGAAAGGCAACTGGACGATATCGAAAATATATAACAAAATTGTGCACAATGGCAATAAATAGCGGTCATCAATAGTCCAATGATACGCTTTGTGTTAGTTGTCAGTGTTGCCTGTGGACCGCTGCGTAGTAAACGTTTATGTTCCTCGTGAAATGTCGTCCTTTGGTAAAACTGTTTGATGTTTTTGTCACTCGCATTATTTTTAACCCTCAGGGCAACACTAGTTAGTTTGGTCTCGTCCATAAATGAACTTAATCGCCATAACGTACTTTACGGAGAGACATGTTGTTGCGGCGAACAGAGATCGCTGTATTTCACTAGCAAAATGTTGTCGCTGAATTAATTCTGTTGCCGCCGAATTTGCTTGTTCGAGTTCTACTGCTGATAACGGCACGCTGTTAACAAGCCGCATAAAACACTTTACGCGGAATACATAATTGTTTAATTGAAATAAAATTTTTTGCAAACTCCTCGTGTATATTATGTGTAACAGACTCGTCCCAACCCACCTTCACATTTCCTAAATTTTGCATAATTAAATTTGCCTTTATAATTATTGGGCTCATTAATCCTAGTGGTCGAATATCTTCCGTAGCATACTACGTATCGTAATCGGTTGGTTTATATCTAAATAGTGTATTCAAAAACATCATCGCTGGACACCAACAAAGACAGAATGTTTTTGCTGTTTAACCATCGCTCAATTTCGTTCAACAACATTATCCATATGGCCTAGTTAATTTCGGCCATTCGACGTCCACTTACTCGGTTGTTAACCCGCACAACTCGTTACCATCATAATGCCATCGCATAATTTTATCGCCTCTTCTATTGTCGGTAAGCAAGCACGTGACAAACGTTAATTATATTGTTTGACAAGCATCAGGTTATCTATCGGTTAATTTGTGTTGGGTATGCAGTCGCTAAAAAACCCAGCTTCAGTAGTTCCTCGGTATGTAACTGTTGTCGTGTTACGTCACAGAATGTCACATTGACTATTCATTGCTCGAACTTGTCTGTATATGATTGTGAGATGTAAACACAATACCATGTGTTCTAAACCGAACTAATGTGAAAATTAATTGATCTTGCGCATAATCATTTGTTGTTTAAAGAAATTCCCGTTTCCGTTTTGAAAGACGCGTCGAAAATGACAAATAATTTTGTTGTAGAGCTTTGCTCGTTGTGTACTCCGTGGTGCGAAAGGTAACGTGTTCCTTTCGCCAGGTTTTACTATCACTTATTATATTAGCATAAAATATGATTTCATCATTTGTATGATCATAATATGTGACATACGTGTGATCATCAAAACAGGACTCGAACCTTAAATAAACATCATTTTATTTTAACTGTTAATCCAACCCAACTCTAAATGTTCATTTGATGGTGAACATTTATTGTGAACTTTTCTTACTAAGTAGCTAGTTTTAGATTTTAATGTCATTGTTTTAAAGAACATCGCGCCAGCAAACAAAGCTAACGGTCACAATTTTCATAGTTTAAATTAACTTAATAATAATTTTATTGGACTAAGTATAATGCAATTCTATATTTATTGAGTGGCTTTTATACCCCTCAACTGATTCCGTAGGGGTCCGAATTCACGGGTAGTCTTAATTGTGGTTTTGCTTAATTGAAAAATTCGAAAAAAAAGAAAAGTAGATGGTTTGCTTTACCAATTATAAATCGACACTTGTGTATAATATTAATTGGTTCTCTATTATTTTTACAGTCACTTTAAATTCATTATTACGATAAAAATTATAATTCAGTATTGTATTGATAATTTAGCTACTTAAGTTTTTAGTATCAAAATGTGCAATGTCAGCACCAGTACAACTGTTATGGTTATTTCATAATTGAAAATCTCAGAGGTTGATGTCTTTGTTTTAAAGAACATCGCACCGACAGCACAAGGTAGCAATTAGGTATTATTCCAGAATTAGGTATGTTAAGTTAGAATATAAATTTGTTAGTCTATGTGTACTGGGTAGCAATTTCTAGCTAAATGTATTTTTTTTCAAAAGAACTTCGCACCAGCGACAATGCAAAAAAACTTAGGCAAAAATTTATTAAGTATTCAATATTTTTCTTGGTGTTTATTGTGCCGCATCAGCGCTGGGACACATTGGGTCACGAAAATATAATTTTTACATAGATATAATTATTTTTGAGTCTTTGGTTTTGACCAGGCCAATGGAAGCTTAAAAAAATATTGGTGTCGATCTCCCAACAAAATACAATCTCTCTCAAAAAAAAAAAAAATTTATTCAAAAAAATAAAATAAGGGAACGTTATAATTCTAATAAAAATATAGATAGTGTTTAGAATTAAATCGTCTTCGTAAATGGAATTCACGCACATGGCGTTTAAAACACAGAAACAACGTTGGATTACTTAAAATATTATTACACGACATGGGATACAAGGTAAGTACAATTTACTTTATGCTTTCAAATAATCTATTGCATAATAAACCACTAAGATAAATGAAAACATTTTAAGGGATACATAATATTATTTACTTAATATTGTTCGACTAATAAGATCCATACTACACAATCTTGTCCATTTTACAACCTCCATTATTTCAGTCTATTTTTTTTATTATTTATTCATTTTTATTTTTTCTATTTAATTTATTACAACGATTTATTTTCAACATTTTTAAAAATATTACATGAATTACAAGCACAAATTCAGCTTCATTTGAACAAATGTTAGTTATATTGGTAAATAACAAATATAATTAAATATCTAACGAGAAAGAATATTTAAAATAAAATTGCTTTTAAAATGATTTATTGTTAGAAGAAATATAATTCTAATAATTTTTAAAATATTTCATATATGACAATTATAGATTTATATTCATTTTAACAAATCTTATTTATATTCGTTAATAATTTATTTAATACAATTTAAATAGTTTAAAAAACTTTTAAATAGCAATTGGATATTACGTTAAATTATTAAATTACTTTTCTAACATTATTTTATAAGTTGAGATTAGCAGAAAAATGATGTTAATGAAATCTTATTTTTGCTTTTTCTTTTTAATTCTTGTGAGTATAATTTTAAAACGATAAAATTATATAACCTAAATGTATTCATTAGTCTGTTTGAGTATAGTAACATTTCAATATTTCAATTTAATTTTTAGACAACTAGAAAAATTTATTGGTTTAGTATAGACCTTTTCATACTTTTCCTGTTTTCTTGCTTTATGCAACATATTTTTAATGATAAAATTATAGTATTGTATATGCAATGACTAATAATAGTTTTTCAGGTAAAATCCGATGACCAAATTCTGCAGATAAATCAGGACTTATTAAATTGTTTCAATAAATGTGGTTTGGTAAATAATGACATTATACAGATTGGTAAGTATACTTTTCTATATAATTGAACTATATTTTTATCGTTTATTAAAGTAGTGTACCATTTTCTTATATAAAATTCAAATGAACAAAATCTCTAAAGATTAATTTTAATCGAGTAAAACATTTTTATATTTGCGTTTAATCTGAATTCATCAATTTATTAAGATTTTTAGCATTGATCATTACTAAGAAGGTATTAATTTTATTCTTTCAAGATTTTTTTCTTTGAAAATTTAATTATTATAAAAATATTAGGAACAAATGCATTTTACCACCTCATCGAGTTTCTTAAATTTTATATAAGTGATTAGGTAATAACAAGAAACTCAATTAATTTAAGTTGAGCAAAAAAAAAAAAAATGACCACCATGTGGTGTTTTACTTAGAATTGTTTATTCAATAAAATAAAAGTTTTTACATTATATTATGTATACCAATTAACACTTGTTGAAAACTAAAAAAAAATACTATTACATTAGATATTGAAATTTTAGTATTCATCTTGATATCATTTAAAATAATGGCACCTTTGTGGGTTCGTGCGCAGTTTTGCACAGCAGTAATACGGTCTGTCCTTATTACTTCCTGAACTAGTAATGCATAATGATGCTTGGGTATGACAATTACAGTTGTGATAATCTTCAGCCATGTATTTAAAGTATCGACAATTTTTCCGACAATTTTTTCAAACACTTTGGAAAAAAGCATTGAAAAACATACGTTTAAAAAAAAAAAATTTTGAAAAAACTCGATGGGGTGGTAAAATGCATTTGTTCCAAACAAAAAGAACATCAGTATATAACAAAATTTGTCAATGATGGTTGAAAACTTTGAAAGCTCATAACTTTTAAACTGGACTTCGCAGACAAAAATTTTTTATATATTCTTAGTCAGTATAAAAAACTGACTCAATTAAAAAAAAAAAAAAATTGAAAAAACTCGATGGGGTGGTAAAATGCATTTAAGCCAAATAAGAAAAGCTAAGTAAATTTTTTAAATAGACTTTTTCTCGTTATATTTCAACATTTTTAGGAATATTATTTAAAACTATAAAATATAGTAAAATTATGGGACCCAGAATTGAATAAAGCATTCATTAATATTTTTTGTTATGTTTAACTATTAATTATATTAAAATTTTATTAATCTTTTAATTATGTTTTGCTTACAGATGTTGAAAATAAATTTACTCTTAACTTTGAAAATAAATTATTAGACTGGAATACATTGATTCAAAAGAAAGATGAAAACAATAAATTAAACATTGTAGAAGCTATGACCAAATATGTTTGTTCTACATTTAAAGGCACTAGTTATTATTATGCCACAGATGATGGTTATAAAAATTGCTTAGAAAATGCACATACGTGTTGTAATACATATGTTCAAGAAGTTTCCGTTTTAAATATTACAGCGGAATTGAATGAAATGGTTATAAAACATCCATGTGAATATTTGGTTAACGAAAAGAGTGAGGAAAAAAAAGGTTTACCAACAATATTTGAAGATGATAGCACGATTATTAACACCAAATGCCAAAAGGTAAAAGATGTTAAATAATTGTATTGTTCATAGATGTGCACACCATCAGGATGAATGTTTACATTTGAGTTTTAAAAATATTAATGGAAAACTACAGATTTCCTTTATTTGTAATTAAAAAACAGTAAATAATAAAAAAAAATGTTGTTTACAATATTTTATTAAATTCTTTATGGAATCTCGATAAAGATTTCAAATCCGTTTTTAGATTTCTTCCTGTCATGTCTATTTATTGAAATATTTACTATTTATTAATTATATTATTATAAAAACTGAAAAATAATTTTTTGTTTTGTAATTTTTTTTATGTATACTTGATGATTTTGAAAACGAGTTGTGCGAAATTCGGTGCTTGTCCGTCAAGTATAACCATATTTATAGATCTTTCAATTTGAGATTGATGTTCATTTGCCCATAAAATGTGATCATGTAACAATGCTGAATTTTCTAATGTAATCATTTTAGGGTTAATATCATAATTATTATATAGCTAATAATAGTTGGATAGTAAAAATTGATCACTTATGGCTAATATTATTTAAAATAAAAACTATAATATATATATACATATATAGGGTGATTCATTAAGGATAAGACACTCATTATCTATTAAAAATTTTTAATTTTTGGTAAGGAAAATATTGTTTGATTCAAAAAACTCTACAATAATATGTAGAAAAATCATCTATTTTTTCATCCCTTCAAGGTTAAAAAACATTAACTTGATTTTTCTTAAATGGGAACCCCTATTTTGAATATGTTATTATGATTTAAAATAAAAATATAAACAACTTTGCTCTTATTATTTTTTTTTCCCATCCTTATCTTTTATCTTAATGCCTTTTTCTAAATGAATCACTTTGTATGTATATATATATATATATAATTTTTAAATGAAGATTATTAATATAGTCTTAAGTTAGATGGATAATTTTGTGGGATGTAGTATTAAATAAAGTATTAATAGCGAGAACTCTATTTAATGAGTAATTAATTGAAATAAAATGAAAAATTAAGCATACTCTGACCTTGTTTATGGGTAAGAGTTCAAGTAGTATTGAGTTTACAATAAAAAAGAATCGAGTAAGAATGATTAGATTAATTATTTAAATAATAATAAAATAATGTTATAGGTCATTTATTTCAAAATAAGTATATTCTTATTAAGTGTATTCTTTTTGGGCCAGGATGCACTTTTGCCCTTAATTTACTTTTTTTCATTAAACACATGAAAAAGTTGCGCAAATGTAATAATGGTATTACACATATTGATTAATAAAAATATTTCATATAAAATCCAAAAATAATTCAAGTCTTATAAAATAAATTATAGAAAATATTATTTATTAAAAATTGAATAATTACATAAAAGTATGAACAATTTTTGTAGTTTATATTAAGTATACAATTTTCTTTTTATAATTTTATAATGACTAAAAAAATATTTAAAATGATATATGATTTCATATTTATCATTTAATATTGGCTTATAACTATAAAATTAAATTAATTATTTCAATAATGGATTCTTACCATCCAATTCCTTATGAATTTTTTTTACAGTTTACTCAAATGTTTATATGAGTTATATGCAATGAAATTACTTAAATTTGATTGGTACTTAATAGAAAATACATCCAAAATAGGGCTATAATTTCTATTTTTAAAATAATAGATTGGGTTGGGATAGACAAAATCATCTGTATTGTAAAAATCACATAATAACATTATTTAGTCATATTTTTTTATTATTTGTATTGCTTTAATCTCAATCTACTGAATTACTTACAAAATCTCATGTATTTTTTTGGGTCAACCTTATTCTAAAAGGGTGTCAACTATATTTTTTGAATGTCAACATATATGTTCAAACAATCGACTGTTGGTTACGTACGGGTTATAACTATTTTATTAAGTTATAAAAAAATATTATATCTAGGCGAAAAAAGGCTGGAGAATATTCTAATGATAGTTTTTTGAAAATTATTCACAATTATTGTCAGTTATTCAAATTTAAATATAGAGACGATTAAGAATTACGATTAAGACGATTAAATTAAGAAAATAGTAAATTTTAAATACCAAAGTTCTGCTTTAAGACCTTACTTATTTTCTAGAGTGATTGATGAAATTACGAAAAAAATACAAGGAGAGTTGCCGTGGTACATGTTATTCGCTGACGATATAGTGTTAATAGGAGAAAATAAAGAGGAAATTAATCAGGTGTGGAGATCAGTTCTTGAAGAATAGAATTTAAAAATAAGTAGAAGTAAGACAGAGTATATAGAATACGCCTATGACAAAGGAGAACACGAGGTAGATGAAATGAGCAGTTTAGTGACAAAAAGCGAGGACATGACAGAAGAAGTGGAAAGTTTTAAGTATTCAAGATCAGTTGTGTGTGCAAAAGAAGTATGATATTGACGAGGACACGAAATACAGAATTATATTCGGGTGGGTGAAGTGGAGAGAAGCGTCAGGTGTGTTATGCGATAAAAGTATTCCAATGAGGCTGAAAGGTAAATTCTAAAAGACTGTAATGAGGCCAGCTATGAATGTATGGCTCAGAGTTTTGGGCGGTTGTAAAGAAAGTAGAGCAGAGAATGAGTGTAGCAAAGATGACGATGCTTAGATGGATAAATGGAATGACTAGAGAAGATTTAGGAACGAACATATAATAGGGAGTATAGGTGTAGATAAAATAAGATAAATTGATAATTAAAACTTTATTAAGCTAATTGAGTATTTTTATTTTATTTCTATAAAGATAAATTTACTATTTTTTGTAGCTATAACTGAATTTTAATATCATTAATCGTCATTACGTAATAAAAGTCTACCGGTATACAAATGTCGTAGCCGTCTTGTTAATGTTTACCCAGTTTATAATAAATTATATGTAATATAAATTTGTATATTTCAAGGTTTATTTAAACAAAAAAACATGTACTTTTATGATTTTTTTTGCACATTTTGCAATGTATTATTTTTAACTTATAAAACACTCTGAATAATTTTAAAAGAAAAATGATTTTCTTACAAAAAAATACATTTAACCAAATAAATTATTTCAAATAGAATACTGAAAATAAAGTTTATTGAACTATTTTTATCCAATAATATGTCAACATTTTATGAAATTTATTTAGTCCCAAAATTGACTAAAATGTCTTCAAATCCAGTTAAAAATATATATTACCAAAACATGTGCATAGATTTAATTGTCAATTTTATTTTCCTAACATTGTACTATTTGAGATCTTTTGAAAAAGTTTGGAAAGCTTTAAAGTTTATTAGAGCTATGATATTCTAATACAGTTAAAAAAAACCATATTAAACGCATGCTACCTGTAAGCTTAAAAAAACACAGCACAGGGGGGTTGCGGCATAGTGGAGACGTGACATAGTTGGGTCGAGTATAATGATATCAGACCATGATTAAAATCACTATCATAAAAAACGCTTCGATGCAAATCTTTAGATAGTGTTTAATTTTAATAAAACTAGTAGATTATTCCAAAAGCTACTCGATCTGCTATTTGTTTATTTATATCCTGATTAAGAAAAAGTAATTCGAATGAAAGAGGGATATAAATATTATTTCTCATAAAAAAATTATATTGATTTGATACACTTTTCAAAAAGTTACAGAATTATAAAGTAAAAAATGTAAAAAATAAAATCGAAAATTTTCTCACAAAAATAGCATTTGGTAGCCATTTTCACCGTGAAGACAAAATAAAATCCGAAATTTTTTTTTCCAATATAAAGTATATTACATTAGCTTTAATTTAAGGTATATATAAAAGTGTCAGTATTTCAACACTTTCAAAAGTTAATTTTTTGTAAAAAATTTGTAATTCTAAATCCCCCCTGTGTGGAGGTAAAGGGTCAGATTTATAAAAAAAATATACCAAATGATTAGTAAAGATATCATCTATAAAAAAAAATTATATTGATTTGGTGATTTTTAGAAAAGTTATGGCAGTTTTAAGTAAAAAAAATGCCGACAATTTTTTCAATTTTTGAGGTTAATGTCTTCGACTACATAAGATTTGTGATCTTTTGGCGTATCATTGAGAGAAATCGGTTCGATGAGCGCTGAGAAAAAGTGGTAACAGACACAAAAAAAATACACATCATAATAAAACCAATACCTTGTAGTAATACAAAAAAATAAGCAAAAACGGTGAATGGGAAATTTTATTTGACCAATGTTGGATGTTAGGGATTTGGTCAATTCAGTAGCAACGAGGTTCTATCGGGGTAGTAGAGTCCGAGGGTTAAGAACAGTAAAGACAAGTAGATATAAAAAGATACAAATTAAGTTCCTCTCATAGAGGTATTAAAACGCTGAGGTATTCTTGTAGTGGCCGTGGTCTTGGCCTCCTATCTGTAATAAACAAAAAGAAAGACGAAAGGGGCAAAGGGGAATATGGTTGTAATAAATAAAAAGAGAAACGAGTGAGTGTAGGTATGTAGTCTTGTAATAAATAAAATGGCTATAATAAGGTGGCGAAGGAATGTTGTTGAGTGTGTTTGGGGCTCGGAGTGTGAAAGGGAAGAAATGTAACACAGGTGGCCAATAAGGAAATAATAATCGTAGCAGGCGTAGTGTAAAAAGGATGGGTACCAATGGAAAGCAAAAGTGTCTATAGATACCCGGTAGTGACTACAATAAAATGAAATAGAAAGGGATCTCGGGATATGTATGCTTGTGTAAAAACGTCTAATGTACGAATAAGATGGAATGTGTTGATTAACAGTAAGATGCTCAGATATCTGTATAGGTGTATTTTCTGTGTCATAAATTTGCAGCTTGTTGTCGGCAATTATGTTGAGTAGTGTTTCTTTTTGAGGTCTCTGATTTTTGTTTGTACATTCATTTATAATGGTGTCTATAGAAATAAAGTTTTCAGTATGAATGATTTTTGTTGGAATCTTTGAAGATTTTTTATTATTTTTTATTAATGTTCCTGGACACCAGTGTGTGCCATCTTGTAAGTTATATAATACAATAGGTGGTCTTGATCCAGAGCCAAATACATAACCTACTTTTGTTTTGGTTGAGTATATATATGTATCAAAATTGAAATTATTGGCTATTGAGGCAAGCTGATCGTCATGAAACCAATAATTGGGTAGTTCAGACAGTT